AGGAGTGGCCAAGTCATGTGACTATACAGTCCTTTAAATATCATAAAGCTGAATTTCATGATGGGTCTGAACAGGGGATTCATGGGAGGACAAAGGTCGTGACAGAGACATGACCAGTGCACCCAAGAATTGTAAGTGATGTGACCTTCTTCATATTTTGTTTTCTCCTACAGATACAGGGTTTTAAATGCGAGTGCTATTCCTGAAGGACAGTTCATGGACAGCAAGAAGGCTTCTGAGAAACTACTTGGGTCCATTGATATTGATCAGACCCAGTATAAATTTGGTCACACCAAGGTACACACACTATCTGATTCAAACACTGTCTATTTGTATTCTAGAAAAACTTAAAAAACAACAAATAGTCTGGTGGGGTGGGGGAGGAAAGAAGAAGGGAGACAGAGGGTAAAAAAAAAAGGAGAAAAAAGACAGTGAATATTTGTGTTCTTCCCAGGATGAAAGTGATGTTCTGTAACATTCTCTTCCTCAAGGTGTTCTTCAAGGCAGGACTTCTGGGTCTTCTAGAGGAGATGAGAGATGATAAACTGGCACAGCTGATCACCCGCACACAAGCAATGTGCCGTGGCTTCCTGATGAGAGTGGAGTTCAAGAGAATGATGGAAAGGAGGTAGCAATAAACTGTGTCTGGTCTCTTGGGTCTGTGCTCAAGCCCCAGAGGTGAAATGAACAAAATTATAGGATATGCTCCTTTTCTCTCGGGCTGATATAGGTCTCATTAATCCACTGGATCAGTGTGTGAGAGTTTGGGAGTAGAGGTGGGTGAAAATATACAGACAAATAATTTCTTTGGTGGCAAATGCAGTTTCACATTGACCCAAGGAAATGTCTGAGCAAGAGTCACAAGGGGACATAGGTGCCCTTCACAAAACAAAGAGGGAGACCCCTGAATAACTGTCAATAGAGCACCTGGGAGTAAGAGATCCAGGTGATAATCCTCACTTGGAAGCACCAATGTGGACATGAGTCTTCATTCCTACAGGTGAGTGCCATAGCCACCAGGTTATAGGCAGATCCCTCTCAAATTCATGGTGCATTTGGGTCAAATTCACAGTCATAGGATTTTAAAAATTGTAAATGTCATGATTTCAGCTATTTAAATCTGTCACTTCATGGTGCGGTAATTATACGGGTGGCCTGGTGTTGCAGAGATCGCTCTTTCCCGTCGCTTTGTGAAATGCTGAATGTTGTAAGGGAGTGTTTTGATCAACTCAAAAGGAAATGTTCTGACTTTTTCAATTCATTGAAAATTCCTAAAAAACAAAAACACCCGTCCAAAGTTCAATTCAAACGGAATGTTTTTTAAATTTCAGAACTGCCAGTGAATCAACAAATTAATTATTTGCTCAGCTCTCTCTGGGGGTACGTCTAGACTACAGGCTTTTGTCGACAGAATTTTTATCGACAGATACTGTCGACAAAGCTTCTGTCAACAAAGAGCGTCTAGACTACATTCAGTTCTGTTGACAAAGCAAGCTGCTTTGTCGACATGGCAGTGTAGACGCAAAGGACAGTTTAGATGCAATAACGCCTTCTGTCGACAGAACTCTGTCGACAAAAGGCGTTATTCCTCGTAAAATGAGGTTTACCAGTGTTGACAAAACTGTTGAGTTCTGTCGACGTTATGTCGACAGAACTCAGCAGTAGAGTAGACGCAGGTTTAGTTTTGTCGACAAAAGTCAACTTTTGTCAACAAAACCCTGTAGTCTAGACACACCCTGGGAGTGTAAGCTGGCATAGCTGGTATGCCAAGGAGCAGGGAGATATAGGAAAGTGAGCATTAGATGAGGAGTGGCCAACTTTAACTTACAGCTTTCAGTTCTGCACTTGTCTCCTGAATTCTTTTTGGATCCTCAGCATGAATTACACCAACCCACAGTTACATAGACTCCAAAACACTCAACAGATTGAGTGGGTTAGTTACAGACATGGTGTATGAAGAGGGAGTGAAAACTGCATCCTGGTATGTGAATCTGCTGAGAACATACATTAATTCAGAATGCCCGCCAAGCTGACTACCCCTGGGCTTTCTATGACTCAAGTAAACCAGATATTGTTACTCTTAGAAAAGTCCTTTTTCATGTGATTGGTCCCATCTGAACTCAAATGAGGATACTGGACTGCATAAATGCCACTGACAATTAACAGCATTGCAGAATCTGTCCTTTGCACTCACCCAGTTTGGCCAATAACACTGACCATATATCTGTATTACATTATAGAGAGTCCATCTTCTGTATCCAGTACAATGTTCGCTCATTCATGAATGTCAAGCACTGGCCCTGGATGAAGCTCTACTTCAAGATCAAGCCCTTGCTGAAGAGTGCTGAATCTGAGAAGGAGATGGCCAACATGAAGGAGGAGTTTGAGAAAACCAAGGAAGAGCTTGCTAAGTCTGAGGCCAAAAGGAAGGAACTGGAGGAAAAGATGGTGAGCCTGCTACAGGAGAAAAACGACCTGCAGCTCCAAGTGCAGTCTGTGAGTATCGCCAACCAATTCAACCCTTATTGCACACTGGAACAGTCCAAGCTGAAAGTTCCAAGTGCAACTTTCCCAGGAAGCAGCACATTACCAGCACTGGGCAGGGGCACTGGAGCAATTTGTGTATGTGGGTGGGTGAGAGCCACTTAACTAAATGAGAAGTAATTCTTCTGCTCCATTCTGTGCTGATTAGGCCTCAGTTGGACTATTGTGTCCATCTTTGGGCACCACATTTCAGGAAATATGTGAACAAATTGGAAAAATTCCATAGAGCAACAAAAATGATTAAAGTCTAAAAAACATGACGTATGAGGGAAGATTGAAAGAACTGTGTTTGTTTAGTCTGGAAAAGAAAAGACAGAGAGGACATGACAGCACCTTTCAAGTACCCAAAAGGGTGTTACAAGGAGGAGGAAGAATACTTTTAATTGACCTCCGATGATAGAACAAAAAGCAATGGGCTTAAATTGTAGCAATGGAGGTTTAGGTTGGATCTTAGGAAAAACTTCCCAAATGCCAGGGTGGTTAAACACTGGAATAAATTTCCTAGGGAGATTGTGGTATCTCCAGCATTAAATATTTTTAAGAGCATGTTAGACGAACATCTGTCAATGATGATCTAGAGGGTGCTTGGTCCTGCCATGATAGCAGGGAACTGGAACTGATGACCTCACAAGGTTCTTTCCGGTCTTATGTGTCTGTGATTCTCAGATAAGCTCTTTGAAGGATTAGTCCTTAGTTTTTATACTAAGCAAATGTCAAAGAAAACTAGACCCCGAAAGAATCTCTGCCAGTATGGAGCCTCATTGACTTCTGTGGGACTTTGTGTGGGTGCAGAATTCACCTATGTAGACTCATACGTAGTCATAGTCTCCATGTAGTCTCAAAATCAAGAAAATTAATTCCTTGTCAGAAAACAGCCACTTTCAACTTCTTTCTAGCAATGGTCTCCAGTAGTGGTGGGAGAGGTCCAGGTTGGATATTAGGAAAAACTATTTCACTAGGAGGGTGGTGAAGTACTGGAATGGGTTACCTAGGGAAGTAGTGGAGTCTCCATCCCTAGAGGTGTTAAGTCTCGACTTGAAAAAGCCCTGGCCGGGTTGATTTAGTTGGAATTGGTCCTGCCTAGAGCAGGGGGCTGGACTTGATGACCATCTGAGGTCTCTTCCAGTTCTATGATTCTATGAAAGAAGATGACAGGAGAGGGATCACTTGATGATTCTCCACTCCATTCACTCCCTCTGGGGCATTTGGCATTGGCCACTATCGGAAGACAGAATACTGGGCTGAATGGACCTTTGGTCTGACCTAGTATGGCCCTTCTAATGCTCTAAAAATATTTGCCTAATATGTCATTTATGACTACATATTTGCAATATATTTATTTTTCATTTCTATCCTTGGTTGAAAACAGAAAAATTTCAGGGTGAATGGTTGATTATTGGAAGATTATTATGAGTGACTGATAATAGAATTTAGAAATGGAAGATGCTGTGAAAATCATTATGCTAGTATGGCCCTTCTAATGCTCTAAAAATATTTGCCTAATATGTCATTTATGACTACATATTTGCAATATATTTATTTTTCATTTCTATCCTTGGTTGAAAACAGAAAAATTTCAGGGTGAATGGTTGATTATTGGAAGATTATTATGAGTGACTGATAATAGAATTTAGAAATGGAAGATGCTGTGAAAATCATTATGAGACAAGCAATAGAAAATATATATATATTAGAAATTTCTAATGTCCTCATAACACTAAACTGTCCGACAGGAACAAAGGTTATTGCTGTATGCTGAGTACCTTTAAAAGTCTGAACATATATTTCAGTGCCTAAAGATTGAGAAGTGACGTCTTTTGAAGTATGGGCATTAAAGCTTGGGCATTGTTGTTTGGTTTCTGAATATGGCGGGAAAGCTCTTCCCTCAGACGGCAATGGGACAAACCCAGGCCTTAGACCAACAGCTGTGGGAGTTCTGTTCTGACTAGTTTCATGAAAATCTCCTCCATGCTTTTCCTGAGTTCATCCAGAGAAAAGTATCAGTAATTTAGATATGACCATTCTTTCTGCTTATTCTATGACATTTCTATGTCTCCAACATCTGTTGCTTGATTTTATAAAATCTTGGTTAAAAACATGAAGTGCAATAAATCTAAACTTTAAATGGGACTGTCATTTCACAACATTTTTATCTGTTGTTTTTAATTACCTTTGTTCAATTCAAAAGGTGAAAAACCTCACTGAGGAGATGGCAGTGCTGGACGAGACCATCGCTAAACTAACCAAGGAGAAGAAAGCCCTCCAGGAGGCCCATCAGCAGACCCTGGACGACCTGCAGGCAGAAGAGGACAAAGTGAACACACTGACCAAAGCGAAAACCAAGCTGGAGCAGCAAGTGGACGATGTAGGCACAACAACAAGTGGGGAGGATACAACCAGTGTGAAGTTAGGCTCTCGTTAGCAGAGATTTCATGGCCTTTTTCTATTTAGCTTGAAGGGTCACTGGAGCAAGAGAAGAAACTCCGCATGGACCTTGAAAGAGCCAAGAGGAAACTTGAGGGAGATTTGAAGCTGGCCCAGGAATCCACAATGGATTTAGAAAATGATAAACAACAGCTGGAGGAAAAACTGAAGAAGTAAGTATGGATTGCAGGGGACGGGAGCATCATGGCACCATGCAATTATGTTTGGATTTGGTTCTGGCACTAACTGTTTTTGTTTGTGTGTGTGAAAAGGAAAGACTTTGAAATAAGTCAGTTCCAAAGCAAAATTGAGGATGAGCAAGTCCTAGGCATCCAGCTCCAGAAGAAGATCAAAGAATTGCAGGCAAGTCATAATTTCTTTCTCTTCTGGCCTTCAGAACAAGTTCCATTAGAAGGAAGCGATCTTTCTTAACTGTGGTCTTAGGGTGATATAGCTATGTTGGTCAAGGGTTTGAGAGAACCACGTCTGGGACTGACACAGCACTGCTGACCTAGCCCTCAGTGCAGAGAAGCTGTGTTGGTGGAAAAAAGCTCCCATCAATGTAGGTGCTGATGAGAAAGGAGGAACACTTTTACCAGGGCCCCAGAACATCATTAAGCTTTGTGTAAATGAAGTAAATTGGAAAGAGATGAACCCAATGAATATAATATACCTACGACCCAAAATTCTCTCGGTGGACTTGGACATAGCTACCCTCTCTCAGGGAAGTGTTGTTTCTTTGCCACCTGAAATCCCTTGTATCAATGTAGGCAGCATCTCTTCAACAATGCTGTGCCCACATAATTCTGTCAACAGCTCTATTGGTGTCGTCCCTGTGGAGAAGCCACAGCCTTATTGTTTCCTACTGTTCCCTAGGCCCGTATTGAGGAGCTGGAGGAGGAGATAGAGGCTGAACGTGCCTCCCGGGCGAAAGCAGAGAAGCAGCGGTCGGATCTCTCCAGGGAACTTGAGGAGATCAGTGAGCGCCTGGAAGAAGCTGGTGGGGCCACAGCGGCTCAGATTGAGATGAACAAGAAGCGGGAGGCAGAATTCCAGAAAATGCGCCGAGACCTTGAAGAGGCCACTCTGCAGCATGAAGCCACGGCTGCCACCTTCCGGAAGAAGCACGCGGACAGCACAGCAGAGCTGGGGGAGCAAATCGACAACCTGCAACGTGTCAAGCAGAAGCTGGAGAAGGAGAAGAGTGAACTGAAGATGGAGATTGATGACCTGGCCAGTAACATGGAGACTGTCTCCAAAACCAAGGTACAGAGCTGCATATGGAATGCTGTCTGTAGACTAAGTGATATTGCAGCTGACACGAAAGGAGGATTTAAATTTAATTATATCAAATTTAGATGTAAAAAAGGATAAGAGTTGTACATATAATCCTATGAGGTGATGTGGAGCATTTTAGCAAATTTTAATGATAAATAAGTGGTACTTTTTGTCTATAAGAACCTAATGCGGAATTAAATGAAGTTGGAGGCTGACACCCAATGTTTTCTAAAGAAAGAATATTTGCAATCATAATGTCTCTCTATTCATTTCTTGAGGTTAGCACCATACAAAATGGGAAGTGACTGTCTAGGAAAGAGCACTGCAGAAAGGGAGATAGGGTTCATAGAGGACCACAAGTTAAATGTGAGTCAACAATGGGACACTGTTGCAAAAAAAGCAAACATCATTCTGGGGTGCATTAACCGGAGTGTTTTGAGCAAGACTGAGAAGTAACTCTTCCGCTCTCATCTGCACTCCTGACCTGGAGTAGTTTGTCCAGTTCAGGGAACTGCATTTCAGCAAAGATGTGGAGAAACTGGTAAAGATCAAGAGAAGAACAACACAAATTTTAAAGTATCAGAGGGGTAGCCGTGTTAGTCTGAATCTGCAAAAGCGGCGAGGAGTCCTGTGGCACCTTATAGACTAACTGACTCATGAAAAATTTTAAAGTTCTAGAAAACATGACCTATGAGGGAAGACTGATAGAATTAGGTTTGTTTAGTTTGGAAAGGTGAAGACTGAGAGGGGACATAATTGCAGCTTTCACATATCTAAAGGATGTTACGAAGAGGAGGGAGAAAAAAACATTCATATTCTCCTTAACCTCCTGTGATAGGACAAGAAGCAATGGACTTAAATTGTAGCAAGGGAGGTTTAGGTTGGACAGTAGGAAAAAACTTCCTAACTGTCCGGGTGGTTTAGCACTGGAGTAAAATATCAAGGGAGGTTGTGAAATCTCCATCATTGGAGATGTTTAAGAGCATGTTAGATAGACATCTATCAGAGATTATATAGATGGTGCTTGACCCTGCCATGTGAGCCAGGGACTGGAACTGATGATTCTATGTTAGCAGTAAAGACCTTCAAAGTAATTATTAACTGGAATCTTTAATTCATTTTTTAAAATTTAAATAATACAAGAAAAAATAAAACTTTTTTCAGATTGTTTGTCTCAACATCATTCCTTTTACTTTCCTGTCTTTTTCTTGTCTGTCCTCCCTCCCCTCCCACTGATCATTGTAAAGTTTTGTTAATGGTAAGTAAGCACTAAATTTAAAGAAAAATTAAAGACTCTGCATTTCCACTCACAATCAGTTTATTAATATCAACATGTGAGATAAGATTTTAATTGTCTGACAATACGTTATCCCCCACCACTACACGGAGGGGTACATATCTTGTATGTTTCTGGCAGTGTTATAGATATAAGATCTTACCATAGAACTGTTTTCACTCTTAAATGCTGGCTATCACTTTGTGGTTCATAGAAGTTGCAGAGGCTCAGCACCTCGTGATCTCAGAATGCAACGGAGCCAGGTGTGTAGCCTCTTTTGTCCATTTCACACCTTGCAGGCAAACCTTGAGAAGATGTGCCGCTCTCTGGAAGATCAGCTGAGTGAGGTTAAGACAAAGGAAGAGGAGCACCAGCGTATGATCAATGACCTGAGCACTCAAAGAGCTCGTCTACAGACAGAATCAGGTAGGACACTTCTAAGGGTCTGTCTACATTAAATTGGGAGGCTAATGTATGCTTTCGAAGTTGCAAATCAAGCCCGGGATTTAAATATCCCGTGCTTGATTTGCATCTTTCCGGCCGGTCGCCATTCTTGAAACTTACAAGTCCAGACTAACTGCCTACTACACGCGGTAGGGACCCGGTATTTCGAATTAAAGCCCTAAATTGAACTACCTGTTATTCCTCCTGCAAGGAGGTTTAGGGCTTTAATTCGAAATACCGGGTCCCTACCGCGTGTAGTAGGCAGTTAGTCTGGACTTGTAAGTTTCAAGAATGGCGACCGGCCGGAAAGATGCAAATCAAGCACGGGATATTTAAATCCCGGGCTTGATTTGCAACTTCGAAAGCATACATTAGCCTCCCAATTTAGGAATGGGGGCTAGTGTAGACATACCCTAAGTGTTTGCTTCAAGATAGAAATGTGGCCAATCTATGCCTCAGAATTGGGATACTTCCGACAATGATGGATTTCTCTCTCTGTGGCTTAGAAACTACCTGCCATTCTATGTGATGCTTATAAGCACTCTAGATGAGCATATGTCAGGTAGAAGTTCCTCCTTGAATACTGCTTGTGAATGGAATAAAGGCTGAACAATTTTTATTTTTTTTAATTTTAACACACAATTGAGTACTCTGTTATCACTGCTACTGCTAAATATAAAAAGAGAGCGGGAAATACACACTAATAACATTTGCAGAAGAAACTGATATGGTGAGAGTTGCAAAGCACAGCAAGGATAAAAGTAATACAGAGGAGCTAGAGATTAGGAAGATGAGAATGATAATAATAAACGGTGCTTTTTGCAAGAGTCAAGGAATAGCTTTAAGGAGCAAGAAGCAAAAGCTGCTCAGTAGCAAGACCTCTCAACACTGAAATCAAATCCATGGCCCTGCATGGAAATTAGTAAGTGCGAGAGGGAAAGGTTTGTGATTCAGATGCATTCTCCTCATTTCTCAGACAGATGGATTAATAATCATTGGAGTCTTGGCACAATCCCAGCTGACTAAGTGATATTGTCATATTTACAGACTGCATATCACATGCAGTGTCTCTAATTTAAGGAAGATGAGGGCTCCAATTTCCCCCATGCAGAAGGTCCTCAAATCCTTTAACCCAGCTCTAACCAAGGAACAAGTCATGAGAAATCATTTAATAAGCTAATAACGTACAGTGTGGCTAAGCGATCGCTTAGTATATTTGAATGGAAATGTGAAGGTGAGGGAGGCATAACTAGCACTATTGGAAAACCTTCCTCACAGCAAGCTGCAGTCAGCTTCCACGGGTCTAGAAAATGACATGGGAATAAAAAAGGCTACTGCAAAATGTAGGGAATAAGAGATGGGCAAAGATGGATGATGTAAGAGGAGCTTCCCATACCATTAGCATATGATTTTGTCTCATTTTTGTGAAAAAGAAGCATTTCCATAATTTTCAGTTGAATAACATTAAATCTTACTATTTCACTTTGTCTTTTTTAGGTGAATTTGCACGTCAGGTAGAGGAGAAAGATACATTAGTTTCTCAGCTCTCAAGAGGCAAGCAGGCTTTCACGCAACAGGTTGAGGAACTGAAGAGGCAACTAGAAGAGGAGATAAAGGTAAGGAATTTTCCAACAACACTGTCTTGATCTGGAGGTTGTAGGATTCGTTTGATGCCTGATCTATCGTCTACAAAGGTTTATATGCTTTAACGCCGTATAAAATCATGCAGATTTGGAAACAAGGGTGGGCAATCACCTATTTAGTCTACAAGCACAACCCCTACAAATGCAGGTAAATTTCCTGCACTGTGTTTATATTCAGCCAGATCAGCATTAAATGCTCCCTATACACACTGGTGTTTCTATCACTCCATCAGATGATGGCGCTCACTGTCAGAGGGATTCCCAGGACATTTAGCTACACCACTGTGTTGCTCCTGTTGTTTCTCCAGGCTAAGAACGCGTTGGCCCACGCCTTGCAGTCTGCTCGCCATGACTGCGACTTGCTCCGGGAGCAATATGAGGAGGAGCAGGAAGCCAAGGGTGAGCTGCAACGCACCCTGTCCAAGGCCAACAGTGAAGTGGCCCAGTGGAGAACCAAATACGAGACGGATGCCATTCAGCGCACAGAGGAACTGGAAGAGGCCAAGTAGGTGATGGGGCTGAGGAACACCCAAAGATGTCAGTGATACACCAGGATAGGAACGGAAGAGGCCTAGAATGTGCATTTTGGAGGGAAGACTAGAGGAGGGAAGACTATATGCAGTTAGTGGTATGGGTGTGTGTGTGTGTGTGTGTGTGTGTGTGTGTGCGCGCGCGCATGTGTGCATGTGTGCTGAGGGCAGAGGAATTATCAGAGAAAAAGTTCTGCATATGAATTGGATAAAAGTGACTGCGGAAGGGCCTAGATGGGGTATCGCACAGGGCTCACAGCCCGGCAGAGGTGACTTGTGCTGTCTCACATCCCTGAGCAGCTGCACACACTTTGCTTCCCATACTGCTCGCTAACTGGGGGCTGTATTGACAATCTCCCAGGAAGAAGCTTGCCCAGCGACTGCAGGATGCTGAGGAACACGTGGAAGCTGTCAATTCCAAATGTGCTTCCCTGGAAAAGACGAAGCAGAGGCTGCAGAACGAAGTGGAGGACCTGATGATTGACGTGGAAAGATCTAATGCTGCCTGCGCGGCTCTAGACAAGAAGCAGAAGAATTTCGACAAGGTATTTGGAGCTCTGCCTTTGGGGGTGTTGGATGGCGCAGCCTCTCATATCTCCGTTGCTTAGATTAAGGTCTTCTTGTTCTCCAGGTTCTGTCAGAATGGAAGCAGAAATATGAGGAAACGCAGGCTGAACTGGAAGCTTCCCAGAAGGAGTCCCGCGCTCTCAGCACAGAGCTGTTTAAGATGAAGAATGCTTATGAGGAAACCTTGGATCACCTTGAAACTCTCAAGCGGGAGAACAAGAACCTGCAGCGTAAGTCCCTGATCTCGTCTCCTAACACGGGGCGTCTGGAAAGTTGGGCAGCACAGCAACCTGAATCTGTCTGGGGGGTGGGGGGGGGCATTGCTCAGGAGCCGTTCCCCTCGGCCCTTTGTTTGACTAGTTATTTGTCTGTAACCAACAGAGGAGATTTCTGACCTCACGGAGCAGATTGCAGAGGGGGGAAAGGCCCTCCATGAGCTGGAGAAAGTGAAGAAGCAGATTGAGCAAGAGAAATCGGAAATCCAGTCCGCTCTGGAGGAAGCTGAGGTACACGCACCATTAGTCACTGCCTTGCAAAGAGAGAATCCAAAAGGCTTGGAGCTGTGTGCTGTTGTGAACGTGGTGGGATACCTGACAGGGACAGGGGCACAGCACATGCTGTGCTGGAGGCTCTGGACTCGGTGTCCATGCTGTACAGAGCACTACGCTCCAGGCTTGGGTAGCATTTAACACTATTTGGCAGGCAAATACCATTTTCTCCCTTTGCTGACCCTTCGCTTGCTCTGGTTAAGGCTTCACTTGAACATGAAGAGGGCAAAATCCTCCGCATCCAGCTTGAGCTGAACCAGGTGAAGTCTGAAGTGGACAGGAAGATTGCAGAGAAAGATGAGGAAATTGAGCAGCTGAAGAGAAACCACATCAGAGTGGTGGAGTCCATGCAGAGCACCCTGGACGCAGAGATCCGGAGCCGAAATGAAGCCATGAGGCTGAAGAAGAAGATGGAGGGGGACCTGAATGAAATGGAGATCCAGCTGAGCCATGCCAATCGCCTGGCTGCAGATGCACAGAAGAATTTGCGAAACACACAAGGCGTGCTTAAGGTACAGTCAGCCAAACACACCTGGTGCGATAACTCAGCTGAGCTTCTCTGCTTTCTTGAGGCTGTGCAACCCATAGGTCACTGCTCTCGCTGCTTTCACAGGATACCCAGTTACACCTGGATGATGCTCTCCGAAGCCAAGAGGACCTGAAGGAGCAGGTAGCCATGGTGGAGCGCAGAGCTAACCTGATGCAGGCTGAAATCGAGGAGCTGAGGGCGGCTCTGGAGCAGACGGAGAGGGCCAGGAAAGTGGCTGAACAGGAACTTCTGGATGCAAGTGAACGAGTGCAGCTCCTGCACACTCAGGTCAGGGTCTAGTGTGAAAAAAATACTACAAACACCAGAGCAGGAGACTGCTGGGTCCATTCCACAGAGTACAGCTGGGGGGTGCTTGGAGAAGTTTGTTTCTGAAATCGCCTTTATGCTAACATCCTAGGATTGCCCTTGGTTTAACAGAAAACTGCAAAGCCACCCATAGCTTTCCTCATGTTGTTCTGCTTCAGGTGACATGGGGACGAGAAAGGTTTTAATTGCAGTGAGGAGAGGGGTAGGCAAATGTCTCAAAGGCTCTGGACTGGCTTCCCTGCCTCTCATCCCAGGCTTGGAGTAATGATTGTGAGAGCCCTTCACATATTCACAGCACATCACTCAGTAGATGTCTATGTTCGGCAGAGATGAGGTGTTTGGAAGAGAGTTCTGATGTGGAAAAATGTTCATCATAACCTGTACAGTGAATACAAATAGAGTCGATAGTTGCGGTGAATCGAAAGAACATCTTTTCTATTGTTGTTGTTAAACAGAACACCAGTCTGATCAACACAAAGAAGAAGCTGGAAACTGACATTTCCCAGCTCCAGAGTGAAATGGAGGAGACAATCCAGGAGGCACGCAATGCAGAAGAGAAGGCCAAGAAAGCAATCACTGATGTGAGTTGAAGGCACCTTTCAGTGGAGAGCATGGCCGTGTTTTCACCCAACAGGGTTGGTTTTCTGGATCGGTTTCCTCTCTTTGCTCACTAGGCAGCCATGATGGCGGAGGAGCTGAAGAAGGAGCAGGACACCAGCGCCCACCTGGAGAGGATGAAGAAGAACCTGGACCAGACGGTGAAGGACCTGCAGCACCGGCTGGACGAGGCGGAGCAGCTGGCATTGAAGGGTGGCAAGAAGCAAATCCAGAAACTGGAGGCCAGAGTGCGTGTTCCTCATATTTGTGTACGTGGAAGCATTTCCTATGTCGGTCCCAGTGAAACACAACAATGCATTTCTCGTTTCAGGTGCGTGAGCTGGAAGGTGAGGTTGACAATGAGCAGAAACGCAGCGCTGATGCTATTAAGGGGGTTCGCAAGTATGAGAGAAGAGTAAAGGAACTGACCTACCAGGTAAAGAGGGAGGTCCCCTGTGCTGTTACATCCTTCTCCAGGGAACACCAATTGTGTTCCTGTGAACGTGGAAAGAAGATTTTTTACGTTATGTGATAAGCAAATGAACTTACCTCTGTCCTACTTTATTAACTCTTTTAGTCTGAGGAAGACCGGAAGAATATTCTCAGGCTGCAGGATCTGGTCGATAAACTACAACTGAAAGTGAAAGCTTACAAGAGACAAGCTGAGGAGTCTGTAAGTACCATTTGGAGGAGACATGATAATGTATTCTAGTGAGTTGGGAATTGTAGTAACTAGCTGGATATTAGAAATTATGAAGCTGCGTTTGTTCAGCAGAATAACATGTAAGGATTAACATAACCTTGCAAATTGATGCTGATATCTAAGGGTATGTCTACACTACCCCCAGTTCGAACTAGCGGGGTAATGTAGGCATACCGCACTTGCAAATGAAGCCCGGGATTTGAATTTCCCGGGCTTCATTTGCATAAGCGGGGAGCCGCCATTTTTTACTGGGGGGGGGGGGGGGGTAAAAGTTTGGCTACCTGGAGCAGAATGATATTAAGCAGCTTTTTAAAATTTGTTTGTCTGTCTGTTTGTCTAACTAAGCTTCTGGAATGTGTTTGATACCTTGTGGGTATTTTTTTTTTTTTGCATAACAGCTCAAGTTCACAAATGATTAGTTTGTGTTCACCAATGTAACATTCCTTAAGAATACGTTGACCGGTTCATAGCACCAGCGTTAGGTGATGGCTTCCCACACACATGCTGACCCCAGAACAATGAGGGCGGGAGGGTGCAGTAAGCAACACTGCAATACAAATCATTCTTCAAGTTGTAATTTGCAAGAACCAGATAGTGCTATCACAGAACTTTTCTTCCCCTGAGGCATCAGCTGTTGTGCTTTGTTCATAGAATAAATCAATATTTGAATACACTCTTTTGTGTATGGCCATAACAGCAGCACTTGCAAATTCTTTGGCCTGAACCTGTTCAGTTACAGTTCTTGTAAATTTTTTGCATGGAGTTATTAGTGTGGCATTTACGCTGTTTTCCAGGGTTGCTCATACATTCCTTGAAAGAGTCCTTGCCAGGTTAAAATTTCTACTTGTCTCACTAATAGCACTAATGATTACTTTGATTGATAGCTGTTCCCATCTCCAAGCATGACCTTCTCACTCCAGATGTCTTATCATGGTTCATGCAACTTAACTGAGATTTCCTTAATAAAAACGGTTAATGAGTGACAAAATCTGGGCCTTCCTGTCAGCAAACAATCACCTCCCATCAAGTCCCAAATGTGGGAGAGAAGATTAGTCTTTTGGTTTTCAAAGCTCTCTCCATCCTCAGGAGGAACTATCCAACGTCAACCTTACCAAGTTCCGCAAGATCCAGCACGAGCTAGAAGAGGCTGAGGAGCGAGCTGACATTGCGGAGTCCCAGGTCAACAAGCTGCGGGTGAAGAGCCGCGAGATTCATAAGAAAACGGAAGTAGAAGAGTGAGGATTTCACCGTGCTGCAAAGTGACTGAAGACATGAACAAAATGTGAAACTCTCTGTCACTCTGCTTTGTATTTATTGTTTATCTTGTCCCCAGTGTATAGGAAATAAAGATTGCATTGAGAGAACTGGAAGCAGTTTCTGTATAGGTCTAGAATCTCATTAAAGTCTGTGCCCCTACACTTTTCTAACTAAACATAAATTGAACATTAGTAAATTGTCATCTCGATATTTTTAAAGAATTAATCCAGTCTGACCACCTGCAAATACAAAGCCAGAACATTCACCCAGGAATTCCTGAAGTAGAGAAAATTATTCTTCCATATGATGTAAGTGAAAGTTGTCAATCCATCCAGTCTTGATTCAAAGACTAAAAGCAATGAGGAAGCTACCACACCTTTAGGTAATCTGTTCCAGTGGTTATTTATTCACCGTTAATAAGTTGTAACCTATTTCCTATTTGAATGTTTCAAAATTCAGCTTCCTGGAACTTGTGTTAGATTAAATTGATGCCACAAATCAGATCTTCTCCCCTGTGCAAGTACTTAAAGACTATGATGTGGAATTCTTTCAGTCTTTTTTCATAGGTCATGTTCTCTAGATCTTTAATCATTCTTGATGCTCTTCTCTGGACCTTCTCCAATTTCTCCACGTCTTTCTTGAAATTTGGTGCCCAGAACCAGACACAATACTCCAACTGAGGCCTAATCAGCACAGAGTAGAGCAGAAGAATGATTTCTCATGTCTTGCTCACAACACACCTGTCATTGCATCCTAGAATCATGTTCGCTTTTTTTTTCAACAGTGTCACACTGTTGACTCATGTTTAGCTTGTGGTCCACTATGACCCCTAGATTCCTTTCTGCCCTACTCCTTCCTGGTCAGTTGCTTCCCATTCTGTATGTGTGAAACTGATTGTTCCTTCCTAAGTGGAACACTTTGCATTTGTCCTTTTTAAACTATTTTGAAAGAGCAGCAGTGGAGCATTCACACTATTGTTATTCTGAAATCGCTGTTTTGGAATAAGCATTATTCCTTGTGGAATCAGATTTACAGATTTCGAAATAAGCCGTCCGTTATTTCAAAATTATTGTGAAATAACAGAATTGCTATGTAAACACTTGCATTGCTATTTTGAAATAACTGTGCTGTGCAGACACATCCTAAGACTCCATCGTCACCCAGCTTCATCATCTACACATCTGCTAGTTACCAGTTACTCTACCACTGCACTCTCACCTGCAGGGTCAGCCTACTGCAACCTCTGTGGTGTGTTTAGGCCCTACCACGTAACACAGCTCGTAGTAGTTGCAAGCAGGACCCTCACTACTACAGCAGGCTGGTCAGTCTCTTTCACTGAAGATATGTCACCGAGCAGGAGCTGCCCGAGGCTGGCTGTGGCAGCTGGCGCCCCAGGCGGAACACACAATCAGTGCCACTGCCTGCACGGCCGTCAGTGGCTGTGACTTAATCATTGGGTGCCCTAGGCGACCGACGAGTCTGCCTATACTCACAGGCCGCCCCTGTCCCCGAGCAGACACATAGCACTTACACTTGGTTGTCAGTGATTTCAGCTCTTGTTATCCACGACAAAATAAAAGACTTCCAATTGAGACTAACCAGGTCTATCATTAAACAGTGCAGAAGGGGATAGGTCAAAGGGTACCTTGGACTCTTTGGGCAGTCCACACCATCAGTCACAAACACCTTTCGCCACCCTCTCTCTCCTCTAAACCCTGCTTAGTGAGTGCAGTTCAATTATCACAGTTACATAGACGATGAGCAAATCAGTGATTGGAGATAGCTAGTAACAGAGCCAGGCTGCTCTCAGTAGTGACAGATGACAGAACAAGGAGCAATGGTTTCAAATTGCAGTGGGAAAGGTCTAGGTTGGATATTAGAAAAAACTATTTCCCCAGGAGAATGGTGAAGCACTGGGATGGGTTCCCTAGGGAGGGGGTGGAATCTCCTTCCCTAGAGGATTTTAAGGCTTGGCTTGACAAAGCCCTGTCTGGGATGATTGAGTTGGTCTGGTCCTGCTTTGAGCAGGCGTTGGACTCGATGACTGCTGAGGTCTCTTCCCATCCTAATCGTCTATGATTCCAAGCTTTTGAACTACAGACCAGAGGAAGAGCTCTGTGGACAAAGTAACCAGAGTGTCCAAGCTAAATACAATGTGGGACAGATTATTAAACCTAGGGGTTCACCTATCGATCTAGGAATGAATCCATTACACCCTCTACCTTCAAAAAAAACAACTGCAAGTAGCTGTTACTGTCTTTTCAGAATACATAATGAAATTTTTAGAGCCAGACAAAACTTTATGGACAATTTTTTTTAACCAAAGAATAGAGATTTGCTTTAACTGAAACATTTTGTGGATTTGTATTGGATTCACTTTGTTGTTTCAGTCAATAATATTTTTAATGAAACATTCTTTCAAGTCAAAATAACTTTTAGTTTTGAATTTTAGTTCACTTTTTCTAATTTAGAAAACCTTGAAGGTGAAAAGAAAGACTTGGCTGATCTGAAACGAATGCTTTTTTATTTGTGAGTGTCTTTGGCCAGCAAATCCAACAACAGTTATTCCCTGAGCGCTGCAGACAGACCGTAGTTATTTGTCAGATTTATACTGGTAGGTGAAAGTGAGAGGCTTATTGTAGTGAACATCATTTCCCAATGACTTGTGATGTGCAGCAGGATTATCCGCTGCGGTGCTCAGCCTCCGGCTGCATGCCTCTTTTCCTGCCCATACTCGCTGACAGTGGAAACTATTCTGGTGTGTGGGATAGGGATGGCTGCGGTGAAACAAGCGCGCAGATATATTTTAGAAAGGAATCTATCAAACCCTATCTGCCTTTCATGGGAATGTCAAAACGGCTTCTCGCAGTGCAGAGACCTAGCAAGAATGATCATTGACATTTATATAGTTTCCATGTTGGTTACTTTCGCTCCGATTTTGAACTATTTAAAATAGTATTTTAAGAAAGGGAAATGATCATCATTTTAAAGTCAAATACACAGATTCTTTTATCATGTCAGACAAAATGTTGAGGCCCACGTTCTCAAAGCTGAATGTAAGAGGCTCTGCAAAACACAACACTTGCAGGTACAACACTGGACACAGTGCACTCAAACGCAATCACGAGAACTGGGACATATTGCTGGGGTGGATTTTAGCGATGTGTAAAAGAGACATAGAACTTGTAAAATTGTCATATAAATAATACTGACAGAAATGAATCACTCTGAGTACATCCCTTCTGTGTAAGGGGAATGAAACATTGCTGCACAATCCAGCTTCCTAGAAACGGTTATCATAGAGAACTGTCTCCTGTACTATATTATTACTGGCCCACAGCAATACACTTGATTGATATTTGGTCTCTGGAATATACTTTATAACAAACCAAAGTGTGATCGAGCAATTGACTGTATAATTTATGAAGGACAATCATTTGTGAGCATCTGGAGGATAGCAGGGTAATAAAAAACCAGTCAGGGTTAATTTGTAAATTACAAATCATGCCAAACAAATTAATTACCTTTATAGTCAGGCTCACTGAGCAAGGGGACAGGGTGAAGCAGGAGACATGGTCTCTTTGATTTTAGTAGGGTTTTTGCTACAGACCCACATGACATTCTGACCATATTTAGCTGAAAGTCCCTCTGATGTAGAGCACACTGAAAGGGCACTTTGTGCTGGGATGAGGTCGAAGGTCATGTGCACCTCCATGACAGCTGTGTGCCTGGGGGGTGGAATGTGCATGTGTGGGACTGGAATGTGATACGGTGGGGGGGAGAATGCACCGACATGTGATTGCTGTGTGCTTCAGGAGCTGGAATGTGCACGTGTACTGGTGTGTGCCCAGGGTAGGGAACACACATGTGTGGTGACTGTGGGCCTTGGGGGGGCAGGGTACACACGTGTGTCTAGCATGTCCCTGGAGGACAGAGGAATGCACACGTGTGACTGCTGTGTGATTGCACACATGTGACTGCTGGGGGAATGCACACACGTGCCCAGGGGGTGAAATGCACACAAGTATGACAGCTAAGTGCCGGGGGGCAGAGGCAGGATGCACACGTGTGTGATGGCTGTGTACCTTGAGGGGGTAGGATGCACACGTGTGACTGGTGGTTGCCCAGGGAGGGACCACACACGTGTGATTACTGTGGGTTTTGGAGGGGGGTGCACGTGTGATGGCTGTGTACTTCAAGGGGGTGGGATGCACACACGTGTGACTGTGCTGAGGGTAATGCACTCCTATGTGACCTCTGTGGGCAGCAGCATGTGAAAGGGAGTCACATGCCCACACTCCATTGCACGTCAGCGAGTGGGATTGGTGGCTTCATTCCCTTAGGCAGATTTACTATCCCCGCACAAGCCTGAACTTCTCCTTCATTTCGGGCACTGGGTGGGTGGGGCGTCATGGCGACTGTCCAGACTGCAGCTGAGCAGCTAAGGAAATGGCTGTTTTTAACCAGGTCTCCCTGCAGTCAGCAGGTGGGCCCCTGCTTGGCAGTGGACATGTTCGGAAAGGCCCTGCTAAGCCCAAGCCCCACGGGATGCCATGACTGCTTCTTTTGTAAGGTCTTTGTGCTGAACCTAGGACACCTTAGAGGATCAAATCATCCAGGCCTTTGGCAATGCCAAGACAGTGAGGAATGACAACTCATCGCGCTTTGTGAGTTCAGTCCTGGGGCTGGAATGTGGGCGGAGAACAAATCCCATGAGAAAACTACGGCCAATGCTCAGCTCACAGCAGCCATGTTGAGACGGGTTTCTATAATTCAATGGGGCAAATTCCACTTTGGGGTGTAACCCTTCTGCCGGGTAGGCCTGGCAGTAACCAGGGCTGGGTTCAATATCTTGGGGTCAATCTCACAAAGAACCAGCTCGAGCCCCCACACCCCTGGGCGCCTTTGAGAGGCCATGCTTCCCCACTCGCAAGCACTGAGTCTGAGTGTACGAAAAGAGCATTTAATGAAACAGAGAGAGAATTCATACGGCATTAGCTTGGGGAAAACACCACAAACAGAGTTCATAACCCAGACATGAGCCAAGCCCCCACCCCAGCCAAGAATCGCCCAAAGTCCACAGAATCTGACTCCCCAAAAGTCTCTGTCCCCA